TTTACACAGTAAACTAACCTTATATACAGGGCCAATTAACAAACTTGACTAAGGCCTCTGCATGGGCCAAAGCTAAATGTACCAAACTGTATGACATTATTTTTGCCATGGATAATTACCCAATTTACTTGCTAATATTTAAAAATAACTACAAAACGTTGCATTAAAATATGTTAATTAATGATGCAGTGTCATTGTTAGCATTTTTTCATGATAATCATATTAGCTAAACAGTAAACACATAAACAATCCCATTTATAGGACAATAGAGTTCAATGCTGAATACACTAGTCGAGCTGCTCCTGCCTTTACCTGGATTTGCTCATCGATGTCTTGTGCATCTGTCTTGTACAAAAGTCTGTTTATTTACAACATTTAATTGAAACATTTCATTTCAGTTGGCTTTTTGTAGCTCCTCAGCAAAACAAAGACACTAAAGTTTACATTAAATTCTAAATGATGATTTCTGTCAAAGGCATTTGCCCCAAACAATTCCCCATCATCCTTCCTCTCTTTACAGATGGGATGGTGGGTCAAACTAAAGGTTACCAGGCCAACTTAGGCCCATGGGCCTACTTCGGACATCTTTGATATAAAGAATAATCATTCATTCATTTTCTTGTCGCCTTAGTCCCTTTATTAATCCGGGGTCGCCACAGCGGAATGAACCGCTAACTTATCCAGCAAGTTTTTACGCAGCAGATGCCCTTCCAGCCACAACCCATCTCTGGGAAACATCCACACACACACACTCATACACTACGGACAATTTAGCCTACCCAATTCACCTGTACCGCATGTGTTTGGACTGTGGGGGAAACCGGAGCACCCGGAGGAAACCCACACGAACACAGGGAGAACATGCAAACTCCACACAGAAACACCAACTGCGCCGAGGTTCGAACCAGCGACCTTCTTGCTGTGAGATGAACGTGCTACCCACTGCGCCACAAATAAGTTATTTAATTGGTTTGTTTTTATTGTCATATTATTATTTATTATTATTAATGTAATGCATTATTAATATGATCTCTATTTATTATCATTTTAAAAATGCACAAACACTAGGCATTTATGATGTGTGCTTCACAGGTGAGTGGGCATGACAAACCTCCTGTAGAAACACGTCTCTCTCTCTTTTAAAAAAAGAAACGAGCACTTTTACTCTAGAGCTCATTTATCTGAGCACAAGCTAGTTTCTTTGTATCATCAGCACTTGTGTGTGTGTGTGTGTGTGTGTGTGTGTGTGTGTGTGTGTGTGTGTGTGTGTGTGTGTGTGTGTGTGTGTGTGTGTGTGTGTGTTTGTGTGTGTGTGTGTGTGTTGCCTCTCCTGGTTAAATCACTGTATGCCTCCTGAATTGTAAATCACTTAAACGACTAAATGTAAATGTATATAATATTATCATTAAACTTGTATTCTTTTATCCTTGTAACACCCAAAACAGTGTGTTTCTAAAGAGAAATCATTCAAATATTTTGGATAAAAAAAGCCATTATATTAATTCAACTTTATGAACAATACCTGATGATGTTAAACCATATGCCTTCATTTTTTAGATGCTATGATGACTTACAGTAATGAATATAGCTGTTTTAGTAATATTTATCTCTATGCAATATGAATTTAGTGTATTTATGCAAACAAACTGCCTCAGCGGGTGCCACTCAGGAAACTGAGGCTACAATTCACACAGACTCACCAAAACTGGACAATAGAAGATTGGAGAAACGTTGCTGCTCTGATGAGTCTCCATTTCTGCTGACACATTCAGATGCTCGACTCAACAACATGAAAGCATGGATCATCCTGCCTTGTATCAGCGGTTCAGGCTGGTGGTGGTGGTGTAATGGTGTGGGGGAGATTTTCTTTGGGTCCATTAGTACCAATTGAGCATCAACGCCACAGCCTACCTGAGTATTGCTGCTGACCATGTCCATCCCTTAATGAGCACAGTGTCTCCATCTTCTGATGGCTACTTCCAGCAGGATAACGCAGCATGTCATAAAGCTCAATCATCTCAGACTGGTTTCTTGAACATGACGATGAGTTCACTGTACTCAAATGGCCTCCACAGTCACCAGAGCTCAGTCCAATAGAGCAGCTTTGGGATGTGGTGGAACGGGAGATTGGCATCATGGATGTGCAGCCGACAAATCTGCAGCAACTGTGTGATGCTATCATGACAATATGGAGCAAAATCTCTGAGGAATATTTCCAGTAGCTTGTTTAATCTGTGGCAAAAAGGATTAAGGCAGTTCTGTAGGCAAAAGCGGTCCAACCCGGTACTAGTAAGGTGTACCTAATAAAGTGGCCGGTGAGTATGTATATACAGTATGTATATATATATATATACAAAAACCTTTAGTTTGAATATTAGCCCAGCACAAAAGAAATTAAAGAGCGAACAATACAAAAAACGCACAACTCATCAGTGAACTTTTCAGCGCGCGCTCCACCCATTATGCTCTCGGTCACGCGCAGACGGACGCGCGCAGATGCTCCGAGTGCGCGTTTGCAGAAGAGCTGTGGATGCGGAGGAAACTTGAGTGTGTGTGTGTGTGGCGCTGAAGATACCACACACAAACACACTTCGACTGCTGATAATGCCGCTGATTAAGAGCGGTGACGGATGAGAAGCAGTGCGCGCGCTCGTCACACACCGCAGGTGAGGATGCGCGTCATGGGGATTCATTAATATTATAATTACAATAACAACAGTAACAGCATCAGCGAGCGATTGTGTTTGTTTTCCTGGTGTTAAAGTTGTGCAGAACAGCAGTCAGTGTGTGCATGATGTGATGATGCTCGTCCGATTACGCAGCGTTTTCTGACAGCGCCTGATTCACACTGAGAAACACAGCAGTCATGATGAAGATGATGATGAAGAGTAGTCATATGTGTGTGTGTGTGTGTGTGTGTGTGATACAGGCAGAGCTCATTGTCTTGAAGCAGATCTGTGCTATTTTTAGACTCTGGCAGTGAATTGCAGAACTGTGTGTGTCAAATTACTGCTGCAGGACTGAAAATGTGGACTATAGACATTGTGGGTGGGTGAACCAACATGAACACACACACACACACACACACCCAAACACACACACACACACACATATGCGCGCACAGACACATACATACACACAAGCACACACACACACACACACACAAACACAACACAAAGAGAACACACAAAGACACACAAACAAACACAAAAGCATACACACAAACACACAAACACACCCATGCACACAATAT